GGAAATCAAGCACCAGACTTTGAGGCAGAGGCTGTTTTTGATCAAGAATTCATCAAGGTAAAATATATCTTAGAACAGCCATATAAATAGGTTTTCTTCTTGCGGTTAGCAATTCTATTAATCACTTGTACTTCCAAATTTCATTAATAGCTACTTGCACTTTGTCTTTGCTGCAAATACCAAACACTTTGATTTGTAAATAGATGGAAATAAAGGCAATAAACATTGTATTTTTACACAATTGATAGTTGTTCTATCTGCATGGCTAATCATGACATGGTTTGAAGCTTTGCACCTGAAATTACTCAAGCTTTGATGCATTACTCTTGCAGGTTAAACTCTCCGAGTATATTGGGAAGAAATATGTTGTCCTTTTTTTCTATCCACTGGATTTCACATTTGTTTGTCCAACTGGTGAGTAACAGTATGCAAAGAGATGTACAGCTATATTTAACATGCTGAATGTCGTGCTATATGTCAAATAGATATAAGTTGTCAAATGTCGTTGTTTATGTCCTTCCATTTTGTTGTTTATGTAGAAATAACTGCCTTTAGTGACCGGTATGAAGAATTTCGGAAGTTGAATACAGAGGTACTTGGTGTTTCAGTAGACAGTGTGGTAAGTGACGTTTCCACGATCTCTTGAAGATTCTTATGTCTAGAAAGTCTTCATTATGGAAAAACTTCTGCAAGTATGATCATTAGATACATGTTTATATTGATTCAAACTTTTCGTCTCCGTTCTGCGTTGCTGAAATTTTGTTTTGTGTGTGTTTGTCATTCTAAAATTGAATATTTTGAGGTTTTTGTTAGTACTTGCAGTCTTGTCTAGCAAATTCAAGTATTAGTGGCCATAGAATTGCATGCAGTGGTGCTTATCCACATCCCATGGATGTTACGAGAATGTCCAGCCTTGGTGACAAGCAGAAGTTTTGCCTAGTTCTGTTGTGTGTGGTGATTCACTACTCATGTTTATTAGTAACTCAATTTTTACTGGCTTTAGAATATATTTCAGATTTTGGTTTCTTGCATAACTCGGCTTTGCTTGAGGTCTGAATTGCATGATCACCTGGTTCTAACAATCGTATTGCACTTGTAGCACATGCTGAAGATATTCTTGTATGCTAAAATGAGTTTACTTTATTGTTCCCGTAGTTCTCGCATCTTGCATGGGTCCAGACAGAGAGAAAAGCTGGTGGATTAGGTGATTTGAAATATCCATTAATTTCTGATATCACCAGGTCAATCTCAGCAGCATATAATGTATTGATCCCAGATCAGGTATGTATCTAAAGTCCTTTGGCTGATTCTTCATCCTGAGCACCACCACAAGCACACTCCAAAGCTGGCAGAACGTGGTTTATGTGGGTGTTGGATGCAACTCGTGCCAGTCTGAGAAAAGTTTGACTTTTTGGGACTACTAAAGTGCATAGGCCTAGAATAGAAACAAGGCTGGGGGACAATCAAATGATGACTTTAAGCTTGACTGCATGCTTATTTCCTTTAAACATGTTAAGCTTCAGGCTTCCATATTGTTTCTTCAGGAGAAAACTTGAATGAGCGGGCAGCTATTGGTAGATGCTGTTATTTGTTTATTCATTGCTTATCTTGATTATGTGGATAACATCATAAGATATCCATGATACACCTGTTGAGCATGATGTGGGGAGGCATCGGATAAAGTTAAGAAACTCTCGTAATTTAGGCTATCCTATAATTTGTTGCATGTGAAAGTTTTCTAGATTTTGGAATGAGCACCTTACACTGAATCAGGTAAAAAAGGAGAAAGAGATTTATCCATTCAACTAATCTTTTGATTAATAACTTTGCCTTTTGACTTTCAATTATAACTACACTAGTAATTTACAAGGGCATGCAACTGATCGAGTTCTTATAGAGCATCATGACCACACTTTTCTGCTCTTGGTATTTCAGGGAATTGCATTGAGAGGGCTTTTTATTATCGACAAGGAAGGAGTTATTCAACACGCAACCATTAACAACCTTGCAATTGGCAGGAGTGTTGACGAAACATTGAGAACGCTGCAGGTAACCTTTTTGGGGGGTTTTCACGTTAAATAAAGAAAAATGCCTTGGTTGGTTGGGGCTGTGCATTCAGTTATTAACCTTTGAAATACTGATACTTTTTGTACTTAACTTTTTACTTTTTCTTGATTGTCCTTTTAGGCAGTGCAATTTGTCCAGGACAACCCAGATGAAGTATGCCCTGCTGGATGGAAGCCTGGTGAGAAGACCATGAAGCCAGATCCCAAGCTCAGCAAAGAGTTCTTCGCAGCAATATAATTCCGACTTGAGCCCTAAAAGACTCCATTGGGATCCGTGTCAATTTAACGAGATTGTAGAGAGTTTTGTGCAGTAACATTTGCTCAATGTCCCAATCATTGTTAGAGTTTTGGAGCACTTTGTTGGAATAAGTGGGGCTACCGTTGTTGTGATCAGAATTAATATGAAGGGAATGTGTTTTGATGACTAATTTAATTATCTTGTCGGGCAACTACATTCATTGCGTTTCAACCATGTCAAACAGTCTTGACGGGCAGCCCAACTTAAAGAAGTATTAGCAGCGTTGGTCGTTTTCATCCGGTGCCTTGAAACCCAACAGGTGTCCGCCTACATCTATCTCTTCGTTGCCAAAAATTAAAAGATAACACAAATGAAAAGAAAGACAGAAACCAATTTTAAGTAGAAATTGGCCGCGCAAACCTCAATGCGGGCAGCCAATTTTAACGGGCCTGCAACAACAATCTAATCTAAAGTTCGCGTTTCAACGTGATACAGTTAGGATGTGATTGCATCAGTTTGCTTGTGCTAATAAAAGAACGAAATTAGTAGCAGAGAAATAAAGAAAACAAGGTGGGGGATGGATGAATGATTGAATGTCTAGTTTTAACCAATTTTGTTCAGTAATACGCTGCATAAAGTTACAGAACTTAAAGACAAGACAGGGCCGGGGCAAGGGGCCAATTTGACCAATGTAGCAGCTATCTTTGACTCTTCTTGTTTTGCTCAATCCATTACCATCCATAATGGTAAATCTTTTTTTTTTTTTTTTGCCCTTATTGGGATTATGTTCGTTTAAGTAAATTTAAGCACTGAGTTGTTGTACAAATATGTTCTCTTGGCTAACTCCAAAGTTCACAGGATTTTGGTATGTCACCTGTATCTGTATAAGAAGAAAAACATTCCATACCAATTCGTCAGCAACTTTGACTGATTTTTTGAGTATGGATTACGAAGTGTCGTCATAATCGCAAATCACACAACAATCCCGTTTTAAACGCCTTTGCCCCTCACCAGAATCAAAAGAGCAACTTCAGAAGTCGGGTCTTTTCCTTTTCCGGCCGGCCTGAATTGCAGAATCTCATGTCCACCCGAGATTTTCTTGATCTAACCGTGTACAACAGGGAATTGTTTATCCTAACTTTTAATTAATAGCTATACGGCGCGCCATCGATCATGATCCTTGGATTAGTTGACCAAAGTTTTGTTTAGCGCCTGAGGGATGGATTCGCCGGATCTCTGATGGATCGCATAAAATCTCTAGAAGATACAGATACAGATAGGGAGGGAGATCATGTGGTTCACAGGTCGGATTTTTTATTGCTCCGTCGGGGAGAGTTCAGTTGTTATTTGATAAAGAACCAAACTTTGCCGCACCTGGTTCTGGCTGGAGTTGGATGATACTTCGTAATCATAACAAAATTAGTTTATTGTTAATTATCAAAATTTAAGCATGTACTGTTATTTTCTTAATTCCTACAGTTGCACTATTTTAATTTTATGAAGGATTGACCAAGCACAAACTATATATTATGAAGCCAGCATCATGATCAATTATTCTACAGTTGCTTGCGTGACTCAACAAAGTATTTTTCGAGCATCCATCATTTGTAGTTTAAAGGTACATTTCCAGGAGAAGAAGCCAACCCAGTAGTTTTTTAGTCTCTCTGCTGTCTAGGAGAATTTCATATTCTGGTCTAACTATTTTGGAGAGAGATGCCAGGACAGCCTAAGCTAAATAAACGTACGGTCTGTGTGCATTCCAATTTTCCGAGTTCTGCTTTTGTTGAATGAGAGTAGCCCGGAGCAAGAAATGAACCAAGCCAATTTCACGAGTTTTAGTTTAATGGAACCGAGTTCGACTCAATTTCACGTAATTCGAACTCAACGAGCTCTAAACGTAACAACTTAAACTTAAGTTCAAGCCTAGTCGAATTCAAATAAAAATAAAAAAAATTTAAATATATATTTTTTTAAAATAGATAAAATAGATATTTCACTTTAATAAATAATAAAATATACAAAATATGTTTGTAATTACACTATTAATAATAAAACTTATTAAAAATACATAAACTCGAACTAGTTCAATGGACCAGTAAATCAAGTACAGAAATACTTGACTCGAATTGATTGGCGCATCAACTTATGCCAACTCAGTTGACCGAACTCGATTTATTTGCTGCCCTATAGTAGCCATTTGTCTATCCATTCAGAATTTGTAATTTAGTAAATCAGTGTTTGAATTGTCTTCTATTTCACTTTATTTACACCTTATTTACATACACTGATTTACTTGCATCATCAATACATTTTTCAATCACCTTTCTATCTCACGTATATCATATCAATACTTTTTTATAAAATTATCTGAAATAATTTACAATCCAAACACATGCTCACTGACTTGGACGCCCGGCCCTGGCTGACAACAATAATATCATTACCCTTTGAAACAATAAATAAATAAAGCGATCCTTTTGTGCGTCAAGGCCACCAAATATGGAGGCAGAAAAGTTTTACTAAACGATTAGGTTGCCAACCAGGTGACTTGGCGCGATAGACAAATCCTTGACAGTTGCTATCAGTATTTCTTTTATCCCTGCTAACTTCGTAATAGGATCCTAAAACAGTGATCAACTCAAGCAGCTAGCAAAACACGGGGACGGAATTCTACGATATCATCATCTGTTAGGCAGTTACAGAACATATATATATATATTAGTTGCAAAAGATACAAGTTGATGATTGATTTGACTAAAGACACAGCTTGGACAATGGATTCCTTGATGGATCCACAAAAAAGACAAGGCACTGTATAAAAGAGCATTTGAATCGCTGCCAGTAGAGACACAAAATGTTCTTGTACCCTGTCTGAAACCTACGGCTTTATCCACCGTTTGCGTAGTTACTATGTATTCATATCATCTTTTTATATGTACCCAGAATGCAAAACCAAAAGAGATGGAAGTCCTCCCAAGGCTTCAACTCGCATTATATAGGAATTCCAGAGCCCGGTACGTAATTATTAAGTCTATCCATCTCCTCCCAGGTCAATTTCGATGTGATCTCATCATACTCCGGAACATATTCCTGATGATCAAGGTAATCAAGAATTAGAGTACAGCTTAGGAAACATAATTCAACCGTAGAAAGCATCCTTGCTTGGTCAATCATATCTTTCAATCAGTAAAACTTTAAAAAAATTAGCCGACAGAAAAGTGAACAAAAGAAAGTGAACTACCACTTTATAAGACCACTAGTGTCTGAAGTTACCAAGTCAGTCATACTGGGGATCCTCGATGACATTTAGGAACAAATTCATTCAATTCTTCATGTGGGTCATAATCATGAATCATGATCCAAAAAGACTTAAAGGGCAGAGACTGCTGCTTAGACAGTTACATGTATATGTGGCCCTCCAAGTCAAGGCTGGAGAAAAATATGCATCTCGCGAATCATAATTCTACTCTCAGCTTTTCTATGGGTTTTTTTTTTTTTTTTTTTTTTTGGGGAACAGTTAATATTATAACAGGCTACCTCAAGCTCTCTGACCAACTCCTTGGCCGTAGGAGCAGACACGATTATGCGACGTGCAGTTGGAGAGATAAAGCCTTCATCCACGGCCTTATCAATAAAAGACAACAAGGAATTGTAGTAACCATCAACATTCAGAAGCCCCACCTGCATTAGTATTTATCAAATGGTTAGTGAATAGATTTGGTCAGTGGTTAGTGAATAGATTAATAGTTACTTTGTTAAACCACGAAAGCATAGCTTAACACCTATTGTTGACATGTATACATCTTTCCTCCCATTCAAATGGAAGTCCTCCAAGGAAATCTATGGTCTACTACAAAGATGCCCTGATTAATTAAAATGCAAAATCTACATATCTTTCCATGTGAACCGGAAACAAGTACCACATGCGTTGATACCTTTCTTGCTGCATTCCATTTGATAAGGATCATTGACCAGAATCCCACAAACAAGCTTTTCAAGTATTCAGAACTCAAGAAGGATGGCATCACAAAAAAGACTATGAGAATGACGTGCTGCGAAACACGAAAACATGCCATGTCAGGCTGTGGAATTTTTCAAACTGCTTTTTTGGTACATTATTGATTTTGAGGTTCAACACCAAAGAAAAAAAAGTCATAATTCCACAAGTTGAGATGGCTTAGAGATTTTATGGCTGATTAGAGAAAGTTAAATAAATGTCATCATTTTCTTTTGAAATATTCAGCTTCTTTTGGGTATAAGAACGATTTCGTCAAAAGAATTTGCTTTCAAAAGTATGATTATAGCATTAAGATTTCCAACAGAAGATGATCATTTCACATTGAATGGGAAAGTTGGTCCTAAAAATCTCCAACTTTTACAGCCAAGTTATTCACACTCATTATTTAGTAGTTAAGCATACACAGAAAATTCATCATCAACAATACCTGCTTCGAACCCATATTTACATTAGCCACTGAGGTAATAAATAGAAATAGAGGCAAGCTGCTTACGGGTTTACGGTGGATGCCAAGCTGAGCCCATGTGATGACTTCAAGCAGTTCTTCTAATGTACCATATCCACCTATTATCGACACAATTCAAATGTCAATCCATTTTTTTTTTTATTTCTAGTTACCTTCCTTCTGTCATACTACTGCATCTTCCAGCTTTCAATAGTGTCAAACTTCACGAAGAGAAATTACAGTAGAAGTAGTACCAGGAAGGGCAATGAAAGCATCTGCTTGCCTGACCATCTCAGCCTTCCTCTGATGCATATCGGACACGGCTCTCACTTCCCCAATTTTCTCACCAGTTATCTGTTGTACATTTCATGAAAGCATTACCCCAAATAAAAAAAAAAAGGGATGGTTGGAAACATCATAGGAATAAAACATTTTAGCCAAAGCTTGCAAAGAAAAAACTTATTTAGAACTCGTTATCATACCTCTCTTGGCATGAGAGTCCTTGGGATGACTCTGCATAAGAAGCAACACTGCTTTCATTACACAACCATTTTTACGCAAGTGCTATTTGGAGAATGCTATGATAAAATCAAGGAGAAGCCCTTGTCAATTCTGGTAATTTAAAACCGATCGACCAATCAGTGAACACACGCATATACATATACATCATTTATTGTGGCTATACAGCCTACAGGCGGCAGAAACCTTTTGTGAAGTCCTAACCCAGCAGACTGATCATGTGAAGTTGTCTCTTTCTGTATTTAAGTATAAATCTCAATTTAGGGAATGCTTGAATCTGTGCACAAAAGGTTTCACCCACGGAACAGGGAAGGTTTTCCTTCTTACTGGAAGTTCTATTGGCAGTGGACTGACAATGTATCAGACCAAAATATGGGATCACAGCTTTACCGATTGTAACTGCCCAAAAGCACACTAATATACTAATCCACTAGCTAGGTAAAGTTGTTTTGGGACGCAGTTTAGACAAGATGGGTAGTACCTTTTACTGTACGTTAGTACTTTCCTTGTTCTTTTGCCATCAAAAGACTAGTCGCAGAGTCCATTTATCGAAACACTCATACAAAAAACTGTGAGTTATGAAAGGGGACTTCTAAAACAAGTGACCTTTTTGTTATCTACAACAAAAACCAAAGGAAATGCGGAGGGGACAAAATAATTCGACACCAGCATTTGATCCCATGAGGCCTGCCTTTGGGTAGCAAGATTATCATTGGCTCTGTTTGGATTAGTTGTTTTTGGGGTTGTTTTTCAAAAACAGCACTGTAGCATTTTGTTTTTGAAATACAAGTCCGTTTGGATTAGTTGTTTTTGGAGTTGTTTTTCAAAAACTATATGAAAAACTTTTATTGTAGATGTTTTTTGGATTATTTTTAGAGGTATTTTTAAAATATATTTTTGGGTATTTTTATAATTTATAATTTTTATATTTTTATTTTTATATACATTTATACATTTATAATACATTTATAAATATTTATAAATAAATATACTTATATATTCGCTAAAAAATATATAAATGTATTATAAATGAATTATAATATATATAATAGATAATATAAATACATTTATAAATATATAAGTGTGTATTATTATAAATTATAAATTATAAATGAATATTATATAAATGTATAAATTACAATTTATAATTTATAATTTTTATATTTTTATATAAATATACATTTATGCATTTATAATACATTTATAAATGTTTATAAATAAATATATTTATATAAAAATATATAAATGTATTATAAATGTATTATATTATATATAATACATAATATAAATATATTTATAAATGTATAAGTGTATATTATTATAAATGTATAAATTATAAATGAATATTATATAAATGTATAAATTATCAATTATAATTTATATATTTTTATATAAATATACATTTATACATTTATAATACATTTATAAATATTTATAAATAAATATATTTATGTATTTATATAAAAAAATATAAAAATATATTATATTATATATAATACATAATATAAATATATTTATAAATGTATAAGTCTATATTATAATAAATGTATAAATTACAAATGAATATTATATAAATGTAAAAATTATAATTTTATTAATATATATTAGTATTAAGTATAAATGTATTAATATAATTAATATAAATGTACAAATGTATTAATATTATGTATAAATATAAAATTAATATTATGTATATTAATATAAATGTATAAAAGTATTATATTATATATAATACATAATAAAAATTTATATTATAAATATACATTAATATATATATATTATGTATAAATGTACATTTATATAAATGTATAATATATATATAATATATAATATAGGTTATATTATATATAATTTATATAATATATAATATTCATATAAATATATAAAAATATTTATAATATGTATAAAAAAATATATAAATATTTAATATATATAATATACATTAATATTAATTATAAATATGGTGTTTATATAATATTTCAATTTGTAATATTTATTGTATATTTCATTATATAAATATTCATTTAATATATAAATATATAATATATAATTTTCAATTTGTATAATATACATAATATTGTATATATAATATATTATACATAATATAATACATTATACATAATATACATTATTACATATTATGTATATTATATATTATGCATAACATTATTATACACAATAATGTACATAATAATATTGTACATTAATAATGTATATATTATAATATAATGTACATAATATATTATGTATAAATATTTACACATTTATGTATACAATATTACATATTATGTATATTATATTATATTATGTATAATATACAATATTATGTATAATATTAATTTATATAAATATTTATATAATATAATATATATAATTTTCAATTTGTATATTTCAATTTATATTAATATAATATTATATATATATATATATATATAATATACATAATTGAAATATACATATGTAGTTGTTTTTGATATAATGTTTGGATATGATGTTTTTGGAGTTGTTTTGGAAATACACATTTACTGTAGCATTTGGAATGTGAAAAACAGTTTTTCAAAAACAACCCAAAAAACAGGGGATCCAAACACAATTTTCTAGATAATTTGCAAGTTTTTTGCATGGTTTTAAGAACGAAAACATATAGAAACCGAGCCACAGTAACCCATTGCACAGAACACAAAGAAAGATAAGAATTACGAGGGGTAAATTATGAAATGGCTTTTGGAAAACTTCACCTTTACTTGACATTCAAACAAGAAAGGCTTTAAATATCTTTTTAGAGGGAGAGAGAGATACATATACGACTGAGGAGGCGTACCCTAGGACATGGCGCCCGCCATCATGAACTGCCTGCGAAACAAGACCCATCAGACCCACGCTTCCACCTCCATATACCAAATCAATCCTTCTCTCCACCTTCAATTTAATACCACATCGAAAATCACAAACTCGTCAAACACGTGTCACAAACACACAATACCGCATTTTGCACACTCATCATTATCATATGCTTATGAAAATTGTTTTACTACCGACCTGATTTTATGGAGTAATACTACTACAACTTAGAAAACCTGTAGAGTAACTTAAAATCATGGCAACAAGAAGGCGGTGTAAAATAGTTTAAAACCCCCGCTTTACTAGGTTTCTGAAATGATGTGCATGCAAAAATTTTTTTCTTAATTTCTGAAGAAAAAACACGTATAGTTAAAGTATATGCAAGAGTGCATCAGGTCCAGGGGAAAAAAAAAAGCAGAGCAGTATTGTGGTACCTATTATGCTATAGCAGTATCAGGAGCATATTATATTCTGCAGGCCATAAACTAGAATCACGGAGGGTGTGCAAGGGAGGCTAGCTTAGCTAGTGGTGGAGTTGCCCAAGAAGAGAACCACGCCTAAACGAGTCATGATACCAAGATGGCACGTTCGGCTCCCTTAGGAATAACAGGTTTTTTTTAAAAGAAAAAAGAAACTCAATAATCAATATCACTGCTCCATAAAACTAAGATCATGCAAGAAGGCTGCTCAACTGACAGAAAGGTTACAGCTAGCAATCTCTCCACCCCTGCTCCCCACTCTCTCTCTCTCTCTCATGCCGAACATCACATAAACCCTAAACCTTCCCACCTTTCATTTCTGAGACTATATGTATGTTTGTTGAGAATGAAAGATGAAACGCCAAAGACGTTGGATAAAAAGCAGAGGACAAAGGATAAGAATATGCACTAATATTTTGGAAGAAAAATGAACTAAAGGTGATAAATAATGAACCGAACGATTTAGCGACAAACAACTACTAGAACCCTGAATCAAGGATTGAAAACTGATAATGGGTTTTTAAGGGGTTGGGTATGATATGCGTTTGCCGACCCAAAATGAAGAAAAACACTTATGCGTACGAACCTAAAATGAGTTGCATCTCACGGAGTTGTGGTGTTTGGGATTCAAGACTCAGAATCTCACACACAAAAAATATAGGAGGAAGAGGGTGAAAATGCATGTGCTAGTCTTAAATGTTACCAGTTCTTTTCCCAACTCAACAGCAGCCTCTTGATAGCTGGCTTTCTTGCCTGAACAGCTTCCGCAGTAGACACATATTCTCTTGAACCTCGATCTTTTCTCTTCCTCCATTAGTTCTCTGCTGATACCTCTCGAGAATGATTCTGGTGAATGATGGGAGGGAAAAGTAGTCCGAGAACGAGAACAAAGCAGCGAGTTTTGGGTCGTTGTTGATTGATGGTGGTGTTAAACCTTTTATACTCTCACAGAAGCCTCACCTCACTCACTGTATCGTACAGAATGGAGTAATAGTAATACCTGGGGCCCCCCGGGTTGGGGTTTGTTGCTCGTTTAAAATTTTCAGAATTAAACTCTGTGGCCCCGTTTGGAACCAACTACCATGTACTGCAATTGGAAGTTGGAACTCCCCGGTTTCTGTACATTCCACTTAGTATCCAATTATTTTATTGTGTTTCTTCCAGTTGGAGGATACAAGTAAATCTGCATTGCGTCCTTGTCCGTGAACCATGTGAGATAGTTAGGCCTTGCTTGGATTGCTGTTTTCCATAGAAAAATTTTGTCATTTTCCGTGAACACATTTCCCTATTAGCTTTTTTCCTCACATACATCAAATCGTTACAGTAATTTTTCCATGAAAAATGACGGAAAATGCAATCCAAACGGGACCTTAGTCTCCTGTTAATTTTGGGATAATTTCAGAAACCTCCCTTAAGGTTTCATAAAATGTCATTTATCTCCCTGAGGTTTTCAAAATCTCGTTTAGCGCTCTTAAAGTGATAGCGGGATCATATGCCAATATCAAATGTGAGAAATTATCAATAATACCCTCGTATTTAAGTTTTCTAAGCTTGTTTTTCTATCTCTGAATTTTTTGTTTTTCTTTAACAATTTCTATACATACATACACATACACGCACAAATATATATATTTTTATAATCGAATTGGAAATGACAATAAAATATAAGATTTTAGGATTTGATCAATGAAATATTCATGCATTCGAGGATGAACAGCTGTAGGTTCTTTTTTTTCCTTTTTTGCGTTTCACAACAATATTTATCTATTTCTTATTTATTTGTTCCTATTCATGTAGAGTACAAGAGAAATGAAATAATTGAAACTTTGGACTTTGCGATTTTGCAAATTCCTACTTTTTCTCTTCATAATAAAATTTTCATCTTTCACACCTATAAAAAAATCGATCTATTTTGAGTAAATTCTGTGTATGATATTGAAGTTGAATTTCATCTATTACTGAATTTTTTGCTCAAATGTATGAGTTTTACGTGTTAATTGCCTTTAACACTGTGAAGGGTTTTATTTGTAAAAATTGTTTAGAGAATAGTATTTGCTTTTCATTATCTCTCTCTGCTATAAAAGTGACTATTGGCTATAACATAAATCTTTATTAACTTTTATCCCCTCACTTTTAAGATGGTCCCAATTCAGTACTTTTTTTCTTGGTTTGTAAAACGTTCATTTTTTATATAGCCAAGGGGTATTAAGGGTACTAAACTAATCTCCCTCCTCAAACATAAATTTTTTTAATATTACTTTTGATTAGAATGACTGACAATGTTACCAAAAATGTCAATTCGAGGGATGCTAAGTGAGATTTTGAAAACCTCGAGATATCAATTGATATTTCATGAAACCTCATGGGAGGTTTATGAAATTATCCCATTAATTTTCTTGCATATTTTTATGATCCAAACCAAGTGAGTGGTTTTTTAAAAACTCTAAATCCATCTAAAACTAGAGTTTATTGCCAAAATAACGCTCTTGTTAAAAAATATTCCCAATGTGATTTACTTTCAAAATTTATTCCCATAATTATGTTATTGTTGTCATCTAGTTATCCTGATTACCATGCACGATAACAAGAAAAGAAAGTTCAAATCTAATTTATAGTATCCAACATGAACTAAAAATTTAAATTTTTTTTATTACAGAGGCACAAGAAGATTGCATAACTTTTATAATTTCTTTATAATTATTTAAAATAAATTCTACCATTATTGACCTTGCTATTATTGGGCTCTAATTTTTTTAAAATGTATCAAACCTATTGCATATATATTTTTCAAAAAATAAATTTTAAAAATACAAAAGTTGCAACAAAAATTTCAACAACAATTGTAAGCAATTAAAAAACTTCAAGACTATCATATTTATTTATGTTATCATTCCTACTCCTTAAAAAGACACGAGAATAATTTTCATTTGCCTTAAAATTATCAACTCGAGAAGCATATTTTTTAGATGCTGTTAATATAAATATTGACTTCTTAGAATTACGAGTGTGTTTGGATTGAAGATTATTTCACTTTATTTACACCTTATTTACACACACTGACTTGCTTGTATCATCAACACATTTTTTAATCACCTTTTTATCTCACATACATCATATCAAAAAAAAAATGCTACAGTAAAAATATCTCAAATATATGTTTGACAAGGGAAAGATAATGAAACAAAAAAATGCAAGAAGATTTAGACAGAAAATTGGAGAAGATATTAGATGGAAAAGAGAAATGGAATGTGTTTTTATCTCCATCCTGACACATATGCTGCCTAAGTGGCAAAAAAAGGATTATAAAGGTATTAAATTATAAAAATAGGTTACTTTGGGTATATGTTTTGGAAGAAAAGTTATTTTGGCAATAAACTCCCTAAAACCATGGGTTTGTTTGAATAGTTTACTATTTGCACAAAATTATCTACTTCATAAACATATTTTTTAATAATTTTTTTATTTCACATATATCATATTAAATATATACTATAACATTTAAAAAAAAGTTATCCCAAATAATCTAGAAAAATCACACATCTACAACTTGATTTTGATATAATTTATTTCTAACACGTGAACAGATTAATTACAGCATTGATTCCTAGCCTTGAGAAATTAGAATGAGGATGCGCCATTTATTGATTTGAAAATTTATACTTTAAGCTTGTAACTCGTCCGCAAACACAAAACTATGAATTTATGGTAAGCTTGTATAAATAAAGGGGGGTAAAAGACTTAAGCTTGTATGAGTTTTTTTTTTTTCAACCTTTACATCCTTTCTCACACCTGTCTCATTTTTTACTGGTAGGCATAGGATGTGAACCACATGCTCAACAGCAGAAAATATTCTAATCATTCTCTCCTAGTCACTGGACTGACCCTAATACAAGAATTAAGATCCTTTATGTTTATTTATTTGGAAAGCAATTTTTTAAAGAAAAATTATTAGTGGGTGTGTTTGGATCCTAGTTTTTTGGGCTATTTTTGAAAAATTGTTTTTCACATCCCAAATGCTACAGTAAATGTGTATTTCTAAAACAACTCAAAAAACACCATATCCAAACATTATATCAAAAACAACTACATATGTATATTTCAATTATGTATATTATATTAATATAAATTGAAATATACAAATTGAAAATTATATATATTATATATTATATAAATATTTATATACAATAATATTATACATAATATATTATAATATACATAATATAATATACATAATATGTAATATTGTATACATAAATGTGTAAATATTTATAAATAATATATTATGTGCATTATATTATAATAAATACATTATTAATGTATAATATTATTATGTACATTATTGTGTATAATAATGTCTAATAATGATAGGTATAATATATAATATACATAATATGTAATAATGTAATAATGTATATTATGTATAATATATTATATTATATATATACAATATTATGTATATTATACAAATTGAAAATTATATATTATATATTATATGAATATTTATATAATGAAATATACAATAAATATTACAAATTGAAATATTATATAAACACCATATTTATAATATTATAATATTTATAATTAATATTAATGTATATTATATATATATTAAATATTTATATATTTATTTTTACATATTATAAATATTTTATTTTACTTAAAAAATATTTTTACATATTTATAATATATTTATATTTATATGAATATTATATATTATATAAATTATATATAATATAATATATATTTTACATTTATATGAATGTACATTTATACATAATATATATATTAATGTATATTTATAATATACATTTATATTATGTATTATACATAATATAATGCATTTATAATACATTTATATTAATATACATAATATTAATTTTACATTTATACATAATATTAATACATTTGTACATTTATATTAATTATATTAATACATTTATACATAATATTAATATATATTAATAAAATTATAATTTATACATTTATATAATATTCATTTGTAATTTATACATTTATAATAATATACACTTTTACATTTATAAATATATTTATAATATGTATTATATGTAATATAATACATTTATATATTTATATATAAATACATAAATGTATTTATTTATAAATATTTATAAATGTATATTTATATAAAAATATATAATATATAATATATAATTTATACATTTATACATTTATGTAATATTCATTTATAATTTATAAATTTACAATAATATACAGTTATACATTTTTAAGTATATTTATATTATGTATTATATATAATATAATAAATTTATAATATATTTTTATATAAATATATTTATTTATAAATATTTATTAATGTATTATAAATCCATAAATGTATATTTATATAAAAATATAAAATTTATAATTTATACATTTATACATTTATATAATATTCATTTATAATTTATACATTTATAATAATATACACTTATACATTTATAAATATATTTATATTATGTATTATATATAATATAATACGTTTATAATACATTTATGTATTTTTTAGCGAATATATAAATATATTTATTTATAAATATTTATAAATGTATTATAAATGCATAAATGTATGTAAAAATAAAATTATAAAAATACCCAAAAATATGTTTTAAAAATACCTCTAAAAATAATCCAAAAAACATCTACAGTAAAAGTTTTTCATATAGTTTTTGAAAAACAACCTAAAAAACAACTAATCCAAACGGATTTGTATTTCAAAAACGAAATGCTACAGTGCTGTTTTTGAAAAACATCCCCAAAAACAGCTAATCCAAACGGAGCCTATATTTTTTGTGAACACATTTTTTCAATATTATTTTAATCTCACATGTATCAAATAACTATAATAATTTTTTTACAAA